GTTAAATTAATAATTAATTCTATATTTAACTAATATTTAAGAAAAATAAACTGTATAATTATTTTGCTGAAATGCTCTCACCTGTGTATGATGGATTTATAATTTTGTCAATTACGGTTTTCTGAAATATACATGAATTTTTTGGGAACGGTAATATTTAATGTACTTTAGTTAAATATTATGTACATCTCTGTGAGATATATGTCTTTTTAGTTAGGTCTCAAGATAAGGGCATACACATTACCATGTAGGAATTCATTCGCTTTTTTTTTTTTTTTTTTTTCTTTCTTTTTAAACTTAGCTAAAGTTGCTTCTTAAAGACACTAATTTTTGCAGATGAACTCCTTAACTACACTCATGGACACAATCGTATTTTAGGATATTTTCTACTTCTTTTCCTTTTCTTCTATAGGCCCCCTTTTTTCCTCTATTATTTTGGGCCATTTATTTAAATTTACTTTGTCCCATCTTTTCTGTCTGGCCTTTTGAACTCGTACAAATGTACGAAGTTCCTTTTTACTCTCCTCAAAATACGAAATTGCCCCCTTTTCTGTATACCTTTCCTTCGCACCTATGCTTGATTTTTCGCCCATCGGTGCAGAAAGACTTAGCAGGTGCAAAACAAGACATCTGTCTACTTTGTCTGTCTGTCTGTCAGTTGTGATGCACGACTGGTCTGCGATCACCGAGGCAAGCGGCAGCACGATCGCTGCGCTCCGTAAAAAAGTGCAAAAATTTCCTTTCCTCTTGGTGATTATCAATTAAATTTCTTTGAAAAATGCTTTTTTTTTCGACTCCGATGTTGACGAGAATAAAACAGCGGACAATGTAAGGATATACTCCAAAAGCCTGGAATTTTAAGATAAGTACTTTTCTTTCATCTAAACTAAATCAAATTTCTATAATAAGTGCCTTTAAATCAATAAATCTTAATTTTTCATCAGTTTAAAGCATTAAAAATACTTGAATTGCCATTGATTGTAGCTTCTTTGTGTATCAACTCCAAACAGACGCCAACGTTATCAGTTCACGTCTGTGTCAACACTTACAAGCCCTTAAGGAATCTCGAGAGAGGGGAAAAATTTGGGGATGAGAGGGAAAATTTGGGCATCGCGCTATTTCCCTCTCGGATTTTCTGGATTCTCTTTTTTTTAGATCGCTTGAATATAGTTGCGCTTTAAATAATATTATACCTCACCGATTTTTTCTCATACTGTTCTTTGCTATCTGTTAAATGTCCATATGTAAGGGATGGTTTATTCTTCACCCGCCTTAAATGAATTCTTAGAACTATAAGCTTAGATAAATAACAGTGTGCCTCATTGTGTTATACTAACATTAATTAACTAGTAATAATTATGATAGTAAAATAATCTTGTAATAAATATGATAGTTAAATAATAAATACTGTTTAATTTGTTTTTAATACATATACTAAGTAATTTACACACACACAAATATATATATATATATATATATTGGTGTGTGCGGTTGTGGTCTTGTATTGTATAAGGTTCTATGTTGATAGTCTGCTGCGTTTTTTGAAAAATGTATGAAAATGTTGAGAATGAAAGTAGCATAAGTTACTTTGGTTAAATTAATATAACTTTTTTTGATGACCTTTGTTGATATCTCCGGATGCAAGCATACATATTACGTTTAGATTCCATGCTAAATACCTAATACGAAGCATTTTAACACCGTCAAATTTGTTTTTTCCTCAGAACACACATCTATTCACCATTACCAAACACACTCACTACACACACACACACCTGTGAGACATTATTTATGTAAATGAAGACAGTTCTTCTCCTTTTAACTACACTCATGGACACAATCGTATTTTAGGAGTATTTCTACTTCTTTTCTTTTCTTTCTATAGGCCCTTTTTTTTCCTTATTATTTTTGGGCCATTTATTTTAAATTTTATTTTGTCCCATCTTTTCTTTCTGGCCTTTTGAACTCGTACCATATGTACGAAGTTCCTTTTTACTCTCCTCAAATACGAAATTGCCCCTCTTTCTATATACCTTTCCTTCGCACCTATGCTTGATTTTTCGCCCATCGGTGCAGAAAGGCTTAGCGGGTGCAAAACAAGACATCTGTCTACTTTGTCTGTCTGTCTGTCTGTCAGTTGTGATGCACGTGTTACAGCTGAATGTCATGTGAACTGTTTAAAAATGTATAATAAAAATTTGAATTCTGAGATAGATTAGTTAGGTCTACTTGAAAGTATAGAATTATTAAGTTTAACAAATTAAACAAGAAGTTACATGGTGTCAGGAGCAAAATGGATTTCAGACCACCTGCTCCGCTAACATTCTCCGTCGGAAATATTAAAGAAAAATGGAAAAAAGGGAAGCAAGAGATAGAAAACTATTTACTTGCAACGGAAAAAGATGCTAAGCCAGATAAAACTAAAATTGCAATCCTTTTGAATTTACTCGGTACTGAAGGACTCGAAATTTATAGCACGTTTCGATTTGAGCCACCTGAGAATAAAAAGAAATACGAAGAGGTCTTGAAGTCTTTTGAAGATTATTGTTCACCACGGCAGAATGTCGTATATGAACGTTCAAATTCTTTTCGTGTAGCCAGCAAGAAGGACAAACAATTGAATGTTATGTCACTCAGTTAAAGACTTTAGCTTCAACTTGTGAGTTTGCTAAACAAGAAAAAGGATTGATTTGCGACCGTATTGTATTAGGCATTCGGACAGAACGTTTGCTTCGAGAATCTAACCTGGGGTTAGAAAAAGCTATAGAAATAATCCGTGCCGCTGAAACAAGCAAAGAACAACTCCGGAACATGAAAGATCATCCAGCGACTGTGAACAGCGTGAAGAAATATAGAAAACAGCAGCATCAATCAAAACAGTCAGTGCCACCGAAATTGTCGTCGCAGGAGAAGCAATCAGCACTAGAATATGACTGCAAGAAGTGCGGAAGAAGGCACAAATATCGTGACTGTCCAGCTTTCGGAAAGACGTGTGCAAAATGCAAGGTAAATGACCACTTTGCCGCGAGGTGTCCCAAGAACATTTATGAAGTTGGAATACCAAATAATGAGCTTTGTATATATAATGAACATAGTGTATTTGTTGACTCTGTAATGATAAAGGCACCAGTAAACGGGCATAGTGAATAAGTGCAAAATCAAAGAACTAACAAATCCTATTGATGAAGTAAATAAGGATATTCACAAGGTAAGTGAAACATTGGTGAAGAGTATTACAATGTATGTAAATAATAAGTCTTTCAAGATTGATTTTAAGTTAGATACTGGTGCAGAAGTAAATATTTTGCCTTTATATGTTTTAAATAATGTTAAACTTAAGCCTAAACTTAATGAAACTGAGTTGTTCTTAACTGCATATGGTAATTTTAAGTTAAAACCAGAAGGTACTCTTATAATTAATTGTTCAACTGAAAGGCTTAAGAATGTACCTTTACAGTTTTATTTTCTTGATGTAAGATCTAAGCCTATATTAGGGTTAACAACTCGTTCTGCATTAAAGTTAATTGAAAGGATTGATTCCTTAAAGTGCAATATCATTAATAAAAATAATTTAATTGCGCAGTATAAAGATGTATTTATAGGTACAGGGCAATTTCCTGACGAACCATATCATATAACCCTTAAAGATGATGAAATACCAGTAATATACCAAGACGTGTTCCTCAGGCTTTACAGCCTAAATTAAAAGATACTTTAGATAAACTTGAAAGAGAAGGGATAGTATCGAAAGTAAATAAATCAACTGATTGGGTTCAAAGTTTGGTTATATTTGAAAACCCTAATGGGAGTCTGAGATTATGCTTGGATCCTAGAGAGCTAAATAAAGTAATTAAAAGGGAACACTATCAAATTCCTTATCCAGATGATATAATTAGTAGGTTAGAAGGTAAAAATGTATTTTCAGTTGTAGATTTAAAAGATGGATTTTGGCATGTACCACTAGATGAAGCTAGTTCTGAACTATGTACATTTAATATTCCTTATGGAAGATATAAATTTAATAAAATGTTATTTGGAATATCCTCCGTCCCAGAAATATTTCAGAAATGAAACCAAAAATAATTTGGTGATATTGAGGGTGTGGAAGTTTATTTTGATGATATCATAATTGCAGGATCTGATGAGGTTACTCATGATATAATTATCTCTGAGGTTCTTGAAAGAGCAAGGTCTCTAAATATAAAATTTAATCCTGATAAATTACAATGTAGGGTACCGAAAGTCAAATATGTAGGCCAAATTATTTCTGAGTCAGGTGCAAAAGCCGATCCTAGTCATATTAAAGCAATTATTGTATGCCAACACCAAAATCAAAAACTGAAGTAAGGAGGTTGTTATTCTTTTTTTTATTTACTACGTGCTCCGCCCTTAGAAGGAGGTTGTTAGGAATGTTGAATTTTTTGTTAAAATTCATACCTAATGTATCTAAAGGTACTGCTCCTTTAAGAGAAATCATTCAAGAAAAGGTAGAATTTAATTGGGAAGAGACTCAGGAGGAGTCATTTAACAACATCAAACAACTGCTAACCAAAGCTCCAATTTTACGTTTTCAGTGGTAATGAAGATATAATTATATAGTGTGATAGTTCGAAGGATGGCCTAGAATCGTGTCTAATTCAAAAGGGTAAGCCTGTATCATTTGTGTCTCGCAGTGAAAAAACAGTGATTAACAGTGAAAAAACTATGCACAGATCGGAAAAGAGCTATTGGCCGTAGTATTTTCTTTTGAAAAGTACCACAATTTGTTTATGGACGGAAAGTCACAGTACAAAGTGATCATAAACCGTTAATGGCAATTGTTAAGAAACCATTGCATAAAATCTCGTCTAGAATGCAAAGGAGGATCTTAAAATTACTAAAGTATGATTTTGAGATAAATTATGTTCCAGGTAAAATATATGTTGCAATTAATTCATGAAGCGCATTTTGGAATTGAGAAATGTAAAAGTAGAGCCCGTGAAATTTTTTACTGGCCGGGTATGGCAAATGACATTGAGCAGCTTGTTTCCAAATGTGAAATGTGTGAAAAAGTCAGAAATAGAAATAAAAAAGAACCTCTAATGCAACATGAAATTCCAACTAAACCATTCGAAAATATTGCCCTTGACATCTTGCAATTTGGTAATCAAAACTACTTAGTAGTTATCGATTATTACTCTAAATGGATTGCGGTTTCTAACATAAAAGATAAGACAGTAAATGAAATTATGATAAAGTTAAAATGCGTCTTTGCCAGGTATGGTATTGCAAATGAAGTCGTTTGCGACAATAATCCCTGTAATAGCTACTTATTTAAGAAATTTGCTGAGAATTGGGATTTCGAACTTAAATTTAGTATCCCCAGATATCCTCAAAGTAATGGGTTGGCTGAAAAAGCTGTAGGAATAGTGAAAAATATCATGAGAAAAGTGCAAGGTATAAGTGTAGGCTTAAAAGGAATATCGAAATACCCCAATTAATGGAATAAATTTATCTCCTACACAACTGTTACTTAATAGAAGATTAAGGACAAAATTACCTATCAGTAATAAATTGTTAAATACTAAAATAAACAAAACTTATTCTAAATTTCGTGCACTTCAAGCTAGGCAAAAATATTATTATGATAGAACCGCACAGAAACTGCCTGAGTTAAAACCTGGAGATAGTATAACCTTGTTCAACTTTAGAACTGGGCAATGGGATAAGGTGAAATAATTTCCAAACACAAAGCTCCTAGATCCTATATTGTAAGAAATTCAAATGGGGAAATATTACGAAGAAACATATAAAATTTTCAAAATCACCTTACAAAGTTAATAATGATTATGATGATATATTAGTAGATAAAGAGGAAACTTTAAATGGAAGCCCCGATAATCTTTCTGTGCCTATTAATATAGGAAATCAACAAAATAATTTGTCCAATAATACAGTAACAAGAAGTGGACGGTTGATTAGACAACCTTCAAGGTATAGAGACTTTGTCATGGAATAAAATAATGTAACATATTGCATATATCATTTTTATGAAACTTTGTTTATTGTATGGCATATTGTGAATATACTTGTATTGATATTTTTTCCTATTTTTATTATTGTTTATAAACTGGAGGAAGGGATGTGATGTATATTTAAAATAACTATAACTGTAATGGCCGTTCATGCTATGCGATTCCGTTGTTGTGATGCACGTGTTACTGTGAAAGCTGAATGTCATGTGAACTGTTTAAAAATGTTTAATAAAAATTTTGAATTCTTGAAATATACTCATTAGTTGAGTCTACTTAAAAAGTATAGAAATTATTAAGTTTAACAAACTAGACAAGAAGTTACAATCGTGACTTGAAATATTATCTAGGCATATATAAAAGCGATTTATTGTTTTCATGGTAAAATATCAATAGTGTATCCTCATGCTAAAATATTTGTCCAGGTAAGTGATTATTATTTTAAAAATCATCTATCAGCATGCCTTGTTAGAATCCAGGCTTAGTTGTTATCTTTCTTTCATAGTTTGTAACTCTAAGTGTAGGAACCATCTGATCTTTGTTGTAGTTCTACGGATTTTAAAAATAATTATGGCGCTTTAGAATTTTATATGTAAAGTTATTTTAAGTTTATTAGGAGAAAGGAGAACGGTTAGTTCTTGCAAATCTCGAACACTTTTGGTAATTACGGAAGTGATCGGTAAAACAAGTCAAGGTAATTTTGTTGCTTTTATCGAAATTAATTTTATTTGACTTTATATTGAATTTATTTTTGTTGAAATAGAATCGTTAATTGAGAAACGAAAACCTGTCAGAGCGTCTTTTACGAGAACAGTTAATGCAATTTTGCAGGAATTAGAAAAGGAAATTCCTGATGAAAAATCGGTACTTTTCCGTTTCGCCGGCGCAAATCTCGCCAAGCAGACCTTAATGGCGACAACACACAGTATACACATAAAAAATGTTAAGAAATGTTAATTCTAAGAATTTTAAACATTTTTTTTTTTATTTTGGAGGCTAAATATTTTAATATCGTTTTAGAATTTTTTCAAATGGGTCTTTTGTGTCCTTTCGCCACATAAATTCGGCGAGGTAACTTTCTAGATGATGCCGAGCAGTTCCTCTGTGTTTCTTATTCCGCTATTTTGCGCTTCCCCCATAGTCTTTCAATTTTTGCGTGTGCGTTCCACTTTCCGGATCTACAAATTGTATTTATGGTTCACTTTGAAATGTTCGAAACTTTCCTCTTTCAGTTTTTCAGTGCAATAGATTTCCATGAATCGGAATATATTGTAGTTCCTTTTTCGAAGTTTTCATTTATTGCCTCTAATATAATACTCATGGATCGGTCTGGCACCATTCACAAGGAAAAATTTGTTTGTTTAACGACAAACTCCACCAAAGATATCCACTGTTGTGGTAAAATCCGTCCTGCGTTGTTTTTACGCTTCGTGAACATACTTTCATCCAACTTCATCAACGATCATACCAGGTCCTCCTATTTTGCGTTGTTCACGTTTAAGTAAAGAATCCACACAAACGTCTCGCATGTAGTTATTCCAATCCACAACTGGTTCCGTGACTTGATTTCCAGCTGCTTTTCACACCATTTAACTCAAGTTAATACTGCACTCCAACCATAAATGAAATCTTACACACTTCAAGAAACTCAATCTCGATGATTCAAACACAGTGCCTTTCCGTATACTTCTTTTACTGCTGGCAAGTTGAAAGGTTTGCAACGCCATTGAATTTCGTCTCCGAAATATAATTTCATTTCATGATTATTTTCACAAATAGCAATGTTAGTCAAAACGCCTTTCGCTTGAAAGAATCTGACGGATTCTTCCTCTGTCCTGGGCAAATCCCAAATTTTCATTGGTTTTTCATCCATTTTTGACATATTTGTAAAAGACGTTAATTTAAGAATTTAAAGACGTTAATTTAAGAATTTAAAGACGTTAAATTAAAGATTTACTATGCTTTCATGGTATAACCTCTTGATTCGCAGGTTAATATCACGTGATCCCAAACGATCTCATCTCGCGTAAAATACGCTACAAAAATCTGATTCTCTCAGGAATTATCTACATTAATTTCAAGTTAAATCTCAGTATGGAATACGAGTTTAAATGCAAGAATTATTTTAATATTATAATTAAAAAAATTCTATGTAACTGTATGCCAATATTGAAGAAAAAAAAAGGTAAATCTGATAATAAATCTCAGCGACTTGTCTCGAAAAAGTGCCGTGAAAGGTTATCAACGAAGATATTCGCTTTGGCATCAATTCTACCATTTTCGGCGACTTTATCGCTTGCGCCGGCGAAATGGGAAATTGCACCGGCCAAACGGAAAAGTACCGAAAAATCTTTAAAAACGAAACTTGTTACTTTAGAACGTTTATCTGTTGAAATTAATAAAATTAATTATTTGATGTTCAAATATTAAATTGAGAATTTTCTTCAAAGGATCAGTTTGAAAATGAATGGGCAAAAGTTGAAGAATACGAAGAAAAATTAGATTTAATACGAGTAGAAACGGAATTATTCTTCAATCGCCAAACGACGCAATTCGTTGGCTGTGCCGTCGAATTCGAACAAGCGGAAACTGAAATTACCTAAAATAGAGTAAAAGCAATTTGGGGGGGGGGAATTAAAGATTGGTTACCGTTTCGGAACAATTTCGGCGAATACACGAGGATAAAGAAATTCGAAAGGAGGATAAGATGCATTATCTAGTTCAAGCGACCGTATCCAGTGCGAGACCACGTGATATTGTAAATAGCTTTCCTGCAACCACCGAAAATTATGAAAAGGTTATAGAAAGCTTAAAAAATAGATTCGGCAGGGAAGAATTGTTGGTAGAATTCTATATTCGGGAATTATTAGTTTGACTATTTAAAATGTCACTGATCAAAAGAGAAAATACAGTACATCAGAATTGTATGACAAGTTAGAATCGTATTTACGTTCATTAGAGCCAATAGGAAAGACAAGCGATAAATACGCTGCAATGCTGCTTCCGCTCGTGGAATCTTGCATTCCCGAGGAAATTTTACGAGTTTGCCTTACAAATCGTGTATCAATAATTACAGTAGAAAATTCTCCTCTGAGAAATTGAAGCAATTATTATTGTTTTTGAAGAATGAAATGGAATCAGAGCAGAGAAATTCTTTGGCAAAATCTGGACTGAAATTAATTGATTCGGATGCAAAGAAAGAAAGTAGAAAAGATAAAATGTACCAGAGTGTGACGTGCCTACAGCAAATGATTTATTCTCAAGCCATAATAATGCAACCAATTATAATGATAAGAATTCTTGCATATTTTGTGAAGAAAACATGAAAGTCGAGATTGCTTTGTTTCTCAGAAGATGCCTATGAGTCAAAAGAATGATGAAATCAAGAAAAAGAAGGATTGCTTCTTCTGCCTAAAATTGGACACGCAGCCAAGCAATGTAAGACAAATGTACGATGTTTGATATGCTCGAAAAGACATTGGGTGTCAGTGTCCAAATTTGCTCACCAATCAAAAGAGCAATGATATTAAAGAAGAGGAAACGCAAAACGTATCACTTGCGAGCACTAATTTCCTAGATGAAGTGTTTCTTCAAACACTATTAATTAATATCGACGCAAGCAAAAGGCAGAAGACAGTAAGGACACTTATCGACACAGGATCGCAATGTTCATACATATTAAAGGAGACTGCTGTAGACATAGGGTGCCACACAATTGGATCGGAATCTTTAATTCGTGCATGTTTTGGAAGAATAACAACAAAGAGAGAAATTCACAAACGCTATGAAGTGAACGTTAGAAGCCTAAAAGGTGATATTTCTAGACGACTAATCTTGTTGGAACAGTCGAAGATTTGTGCACCAGTGGTCAGTTTACAGCCTGGACCATTGATAGAACTAAGGTAGAAAAATATCCATGCATCTGATGTAGGAAAAAAGGATTTAAAAATAGAAGTTCTTATTGAAGCTGACGTCGCAGGTGCTCTGTTAACCGAAAGAATTCAGAAATTAGAAAATGGGCTGACTGCTGTGGAATCACTACTTGGATGGACAATCATGGGAAAGATAAAAGATTATGTTTCAGAAAGAAACTCCTTGTCCATGTCATCAACAATAACGTCGATGATGATTCACAGCGGTGACATAGAAAACTTGTGGAAGCTAGAAGCACTGAGAATCACAGATTCTAAAGAAAATTAAACTGATTAAGAGTTAGAAGAAGCAGTCTGGAACCACTTTCAAAAGACTCTGAAGAGGTAGGATGATCGATATGAAGTCAGTTTACCTTGGATCAACGATAAAGAAGCTTTACCAAGTAATAGAGAAGTTGCTGAAAAACGATTGATTTCCCCGACAAAGAAGATAAATTTGAAACATACAATACGGTGTTCGAAGAGTGGCTCGAATCTGGAGTAACAGAAGAAGAAGAACGAGTTAACAATCATTATCATCCCCACAGACCGGTCTTC